AGATATGTAGCTGTGTGCTACCCACTGAGGCATGCTACCATCATCACCATCAGAAACACAGGGGTGGCCATCATTGTGGTTTGGGCCTTCAGTTCTCTAAATGTCCTCACTCGAGTTATATTACTTTTAGATTTTCCATTTGAAGAGCTGGAGAGCCTGCAGATGGACGACTTTTGCTCTGACATAGCTATGTTGCTTGACCCAGTGTCTGATCATTATGAGAAAGCCTACACTTATTTTCTGTTTGTTTTAGCTGGTATGACAGTCACTTGCTCCTATATTGGTGTGATGGTAGCAGCCAGGTCAGCCTCTACAGACAAAGCTTCAGCCAAAAAGGCTCGTAATACACTGCTGCTGCATCTGGTGCAGCTGGGCCTGAGTCTCCTCTCAACTATGCACAACTCATTGCTCATAGCTATCTCAAAAACTGTAACAAGGATAGTAATTGTGCGTGTTCAAATTGTTGTTTATGTGTGTGTTATCCTCTTCCCCAGATGTCTGAGTGCTTTAATCTATGGCCTCAGAGATCAGACCATCAGACCCGTCCTCATGTACCAACTGTGCTGTAGACTAAAACTCTCAGTCCTTCCAGCCAAGGCTGAAGTCAGCATTCGTCTCTCTCAATAGATATACATCACTGTATGTTAGACTAAATCTAAATTTGATAAAAACTTCTTTTTTTTTTAAAATTAAAGCTGTTAGTACACTTCCAAACTGTTATGAATAGTTGAAAAAAGAAATCAAAACAAAAAACAAGCTTTTATTGCCTTTTTCCAACACAGTCAACCTGTCAGTTTACACCCTTAGAACTAACACAGGCCATGGCACAGTACCATTGCATAGCCCAAAAACGTCTCCCACTGTTGGCATGCTGTGTGATGCATTAAGTGGAAAAACATGACTGTTCGACCACGTGTGCTCCAGCAATTGAACACTTGTGCAAAAAAAAAAAAAAAAGCAATTCAATAAATATCCCTGAAATACAGTAAATCTTTTGTGAAGATGCATAAATTTATTTGAAACCTTGCTGGAGAGGGGGTTTCTTCAGCCATTATTTGTTTTGTTTTCTCAAAATGTGGAGCCATCATTAATGCCAGTGAATTTGTGAGGTGCTATGTACATTGCAGTCATAAAGTATGAAGACAATGTTTGTTATTGTTTTGGATTTATTTCCACACATTACAGTAGGCCGCAATCACGAATGCTTTCTTCTTTTTCTCTTAAAGCTATACTACCTAAATTCTCCATATTAAATGTCTAAAAATGACCAGATTTATGTTAAATATATCTTCTGAGTTATGTTCTTACACTATCCAAATTTGTCCATCAATTCTCAAACCAGAGAAAGCTGTGATTTTAATAATGGTAACGGTATGTTTTACTTGGTCGCCTATCAATTACGTCATATCCACTATGTGCATGTGTTGGTGTTGTGGATGTCTGCCAGAAGCTCAAAATGGTATTTTATCCAGTTCTAAGCCACATTTTTAAGATATACTTGTTACACCTTGGTCTTCAAATATGTATTTTAACCAGATGAAGAATTGTACTCCTCAGACGTCTAGATCTTAAGTTAACAGAGAAAAAAACCAAGCAAATGTTAGGCTTTAATTTGTGTTCCTACTGGTTTTAATCCCCTGCTGCATTTGTTATGGAGAGGAATCCTTGCGCCATGTGCAAACCATCTACCAGAACATTCGAGGCGAATATTACACTGAATTCACAACCTGCATATGGAAATAAAAACAGATGCAGTCCACATTTAAAATTATAACAAAAATGGTTAGGGTTAGGTTAGGGTTTCAACATGTGGCAATTCAAAGTGCTCTAGCTAAGACATAAAGAAAAAATAGAATGACAGATTAAAATTGAAATAGATAATTACAAAATAAACAGTCCACAGTTTAATTTGATAAAAAAAGAAAAACATTGTCAAGCAGAAAAATCTTAAGCCTTAAGAAGTTTTCTGGAAGTTTGTTCACATTTCATGAATTTCCCCTAGAGGATAAATAAAGTATCTATCTATCTATCTATCTATCTATCTATCTATCTATCTATCTATCTATCTATCTATCTATCTATCTATCTATCTATCATACTTGGAGCATAAAAACTGAATGCTGCTTCTCCAGAAGGCCGATGCATTGACTTTGGAGAAAGAATCAGAAACAAAGTTTAGAACATTTTTGGATTTCAGCCATTGTAGTGCCAGCAAAGGTGATTGGCTAATTAGACTGATTAACTCAGGGCATTTTTAATGTATACAGAGGGAAAAATTGAAAAACTGTTTATGTTTAATAGGAATATAAGAAAATGTACAAGAGATGATGTAATGCTGTGACATGAATATCATTCTCAATAAAAAGAGATTTAAAAAAAAAAGGTATTAACCATGTGGACACGTGACGGTGTCACATGAAATGGGTGTGTGGACTGAGTTCATATACAGAGTGTGAGGACAGGCAAACCCTGTAGACCAGCTCTGCTCACATGGAAACAAACAAAACCTCTAACCTGCTAGCTGTCTGCAGAGGGAAAATATATTAACATGATTTTATATTTTATATGTGGACGCAAAAGGCATCTCTGCTGTCAGTGGATCTTCACTGTTGTGACAAACTGGAAGAAATTAATTATATATAATTTATTATAATTTATAAAGTTAGTGTTCCACTGACGTTAATGGGTTGATGTCTTTACTGATTCTATAAAATGTTGTATGGAAATCAATCTCTGGCAAATAGCACTGCTGAACAGCAGTATCAGGGGATACTGGAAAGAGCGTTGTTTTCGACTCTGACTACAGTACCATGCTGTGTCTTTCTCTTCATCAATGGGACCATGCTGTTCACCTTGCGGAGTAAACCAGTGTTTTGTGAGACTTCCCGTTACATTCTTCTATTTAACCTCCTTTTTGCAGACACTGTGCAGATGACACTGAGCCAGTTACTGTACATAATTGCTGCTTGTAGAATAAGGCTGACATATCCTGTGTGTGGTGTTCTCACCATGCTTGCTGATCTCACAAATGAAGTCTCTCCTCTCACACTGATGGTGATGTCTCTGGAAAGATATGTAGCTGTGTGCTACCCACTGAGGCATGCTACCATCATCACCATCAGAAGCACAGGGGTGGCCATCATTGTGGTTTGGGCCTTTTGTTCACTAAATGTTCTCACTAGAGTTATTTTGCTTTTAGAATTTCCATTTGAGGAGCTGAAGAGCCTGCAGATGAAGGACTTTTGCTCTGACATAGCTATGTTGATTGGGTCTATGTCTGATCATTACGACAAAGCCTACACTTGTTTTCTGTTTATATCTGCTACTGTGGCGATTACTTCCTCCTATATTGGTGTGATGATAGCAGCCAGGTCAGCCTCTACAGACAAAGCTTCAGCCCGTAAGGCTCGAAACACACTGCTTCTGCATCTGGTGCAGCTGGGTCTCAGTCTCTCCTCAACCATTTACAATCCAATTCTTATAGCTCTTTCAAGAATTGTAAAAAGGCTAGTATTTGTGCGTGTCCAGAATGTTTTTTATATGTGTATTTTCCTGTTCCCTAGATGTCTGAGTTCTCTTATTTATGGTATCAGAGACCAGACCATCAGGCCCGTCCTTGTGTACCATCTATGCTGTAGACTGAAACTCTCAGTGGTTCCAGCCAAGGCTGAGATGTCAACCTAGGCTTTATGAAATCTATCACTCTTTATTTACATACAGTATATATATATATATATATATTGAAAATACTAAAAATAACCTAGTGAGTAACCAGTGTCATCTATATCTTTCTCAGTATTTCTCAAAGTCCACTGTTAGAAGTCTGCCACTTTTATTTGAATGATGATTTGAAAAGAATGGTTTAATCAAGTTGCTGTCATTTTATTTTTAGCTTTATGTTGTTGAATATGCTGTTGCAATTTCATGTGTATTATTCTGAGGAAAATTCTTCATTTTTTTCAATTTCAAGGAATATGTAGGGAGAGCATTTGTAATAAAATAATAGTTCAAATAAATTACTACTACTAATAATAATGATAATAATAATGTTTTCTTATGACAGCTATAACATTTGTATTTACTGTTGATCATGCATTTTTAAATCTGTAAAAGTGGCTAGGCTGAGTTTTGATGATTATTACTTGACACAGACCACTGTTTTTCTCTCTGCTGCCCTCATCTGTGTGAACGAGCTAAGCACTTAGATAACACAGCCAGCCTTGTAATTTAACTCCACTCACCTCATACTAAACACACCTGTCAACTAACCCATACCTTGACTTTGTCATTGATAAGCCATTTGTCCATTTGAACCCATTTGTGACCGTACTTTAGACTTCCTGGCTCGTGTTATGAGATCTTGCTTCAATATAACCACATAATCTTCCTTCATCATGATGCCATCTGTTTTGTAAAGTGCACCAGTCCCTCCTGCTGCAAAGCCTCTCAACAACATGATGCTGCCAACCCCGTGCATCACGGTTGGGATGGTGTTCTTCAACATACAAGCGTCACCCTTTTTTTCAAACATACGATTCAAACATATGATGGTCATTTTGGCCAAGCAGTTCTATTTTGTTTTGTGAGACCACAGGACATTTGTAAATAGATAGATAGATAGATAGATAGATAGATAGATAGATAGATAGATAGATAGTCTTCAAACAGGAATTTCTGGATTTCCCCTTCTGTCCTTATATACAGTACATAGGTTGGTGTTTTTTATTGATCACAAATTTCACGTATTTTTCACATGTGACACATGCATCTTACTACATAAAACAGACAGGCCTGTGCTACGAAGCAAGCTCAACATACCCATGGTAACATTTAGTTATCTGAGGTAACTGAACCTAACACTGACCCTCCTGATAACCTGTACTATGAAGCAGGTCATCACCTGGCTCAGTTAACTCTGGTTTACCTGTCCAGCTACGAGTATGTTCACGTAAAAGAGGTGGAGTTTTTAAATATAAGCAACATCATCAGAAACATGATTGAAATACTTAATATCATATGATAAGTTCGGTTATAACCACGTCGAAAAGTGACATTTAACAAAAAACAAAAAAATCACATAACTAGAATAAAAATAAATATTTCTAAATATAGTTACTATTAAAGTCATATTAAGTATATGTTGTAAGTAAGTGGATGAATTATCATCAAGTTTCTTACTCAGTATTTTCGCTCTTCAGTGATGATGAACCAACTGTTATGAGCATGTGATGCAGATAAAACAGTTAAAGTTAATGTCTGACTGTTTCTGCTGCAGAGAAAGAAAGAAAAGAGGAGAGAAGTAGTTGATTTCTGATGAGTCTGACTGAAAAATTTTAAATCAGATTTATAATCATGGAAATATTGAGCAGTGTGTGGCTAATTGTTCTAATCAAAGACATCAGATGTTTAGTTTTTATTTCCAGTTATCGTCAAAGAGTGATGGAAGAAGAGTAAGAGCATCAATACAGTCAGGAATCCTGACGGATTAAAGATGATTTGTTCAATTAAAATGATGCTATTTATTTAGGTCAATAAACTCTGTTTGTTAGAAGCTCTGTTTTAAAACCAGAGCGGACACATGCTGGTCTGGAACAACAAAATGATTCCACTGATTTATATAAATGTCTAGGCCTACTACTTGTTATTATTTATCACTTAATTGTATAGACTTTTTGTTCCTGTCAGGATCCTGTAGGAATGATGACTCAGTTTTTCCAGTGGTCTGATTGGTCAGTAGTTTGGCTGTTGACAGATTTTGATCTGATCCTCTAAGTTAACCTGTGTCACAGTTTAGGCGTTCAGCATAAGTTACCATGGTGATTTCCCCCAGTACCAAGGGAACCACCGTCATAGGACTGAAAACCCAGAGTTAAACCTGAAGTTACTTCGATAACCTCAAATCCTGCTTCATAGCACAGGCCTTAATTTCTAGGCTGAAACTAAATATGTCACAGCATGAAAGAATACATGCCCACTTTGGAGCACAATGTGACAAGGATCTGTCTGGCATGTTGGGTAATAATGGAAGTTAGATTACATCAACCATTACCAATCTGGTAACCACAGTGACATGTGACGTGTCATGTGAGCAGGTTGCGAGGACAGAGCTCATAATTTGTATGCAAGGACAAGCAAACCCTGCAGAACAACTCTGCCCACATACAAACAAGGACCAACTCTAAACTGCTATTTGCACAGGGAAAGTATATGTGGATGATTTGGGGTTTTTCTTGTTTAGCCTTGTGAATCTGTGTTTAACAGATGGATCTAAGCTGTTGCTGGAATACAAACTGAACAAGATTCACTGTGCTTTTGTTTTCCAGTCACATCAGCATATCAGGGAGTTAATACTTTACATGGTTAATGCTTTACATGTCTTAAATGCTTCTCTGAAATGTCGTATGCAACTCAGTTTCACACTAACATCACTGTTGAATTACAGTATCAGGGATTATTGGAAAGAGCGATTATTACCACTCTGACTACAGTACTATGCTGTGTGTTTCTCTTCATTAATGGGACCATGTTATTCACCCTGAGGAGTAAACCAGTGTTTTATGAGACCTCTCGTTACATTCTTCTGTATAACCTACTTTTAGCAGACACTGCACAGCTGGTACAAAGTCAGGTACTGTATCTACTGGCTGCGTATAGAATAAAATTAACGTATCCTGTGTGTGGGTTTCTCAGCCTTTTTGCCAATCTTGTAACTGTGGTCTCTCCTCTCACCCTGGTGGTGATGTCTCTGGAGAGATATGTAGCTGTGTGCTACCCACTGAGGCACGCTACCATCATCACCATTAGAAGCACAGGGGTGGCCATCATTGTGGTTTGGGCCTTCAGTTCACTAAGTCTCCTCATTCGAATTTTTTTACTATTAAATTTTCCATTTGACGAGTTGGACAGCCTGCTGATGAATGACTTTTGCTCTGCTGTAGCTATGTTGCTTGGGCCCTTAGCTGATGATTATGATCAAGCCTACACTTGTATTCTGTTTGTTTCAGCAGGTGTGGCAATAATTTCCTCCTATATCGGTGTGATGGTAGCAGCCAGGTCAGCTTCTGCAGACAAAGCTTCAGCACAAAAGGCTCGTAACACGCTGCTGCTGCATCTGGTGCAGCTGGGCCTCAGTCTCTTCTCAACCATGTTCAATCCATTACTGGCAGCTCTTTCGAGAATTTTATCAAGAATAGTATTAGTACGCATTGTTAATTTTTTCTATGTGTGTATTGTCATCTCCCCCAGATGTCTGAGTGCTCTCATCTATGGGCTCAGAGATCAGACCATTAAGCCCATTCTCATGTACTATCTCTGCTGTCGACCCAGCCAAGGCTGAGAAGTGAAGCTTTGTCAAGTTTTCTGGAGTGGCCTTCAGAGGCCGCCACATCTGGCTTTAGTTGTTGAGCAGACAAACAATATTGCTAATGTTTCAAAACAACTAATTTAATGATCAGTGTCTTAATCCCTAGGCCACCAGGGCACCCCGTTACATGCATTAATGATGAGAATATGTTGCCGGACTTGTTTAATGATGAAACCAACTAAAATCATATGGTTCAGGTTATTAAAATAGATTATTAGCTGGTTTGACAGACAGAATGCATCTTGCCCCTCTGCTGCCCTTCATGTGGCCTGGCGGTAAAAGTGTGGCAAACACAGGCAGCCCCCTTCACAGGTACATCATTCACTGCATCCAAAACCAACCTTCATGTAATCTCACCTAATGCCCTGACCTCCCCACACACCAATCTGTGCTGCTCTGTATCGCATTTTTTTTTTTTTTGTCTGCTGTGATGCCTATGGGGTTTGCTGGGAAAAGAAAATATGTTGCTAACATTATGAAATTGTGTTTCAATTTGTATTTTAATTGAAACTGATATGGATGCAGCTGGAATGAATTAAGATGTATAGGAAGGACAGACAGAAAAGAGTATAAATTCAGATAACAAGTTGCGACAGTGACTGCACCCCCTCATCTTAAATTAAATTATTAGAATCACAATTAAGAATACCATTGTCCACATCACTTTCTATACAAAATTGCTTGGGCATGATAGAACTTCTATCTAAAACAGCAACTACCTTATATATAGTTTGCTGGTTCAAAAATTGTAATTATTTAAACTCTGAATGTCCAATTGAATCATCAACTTTCATCTCTCACTGCAAACATTTTACCAGTGAGGTGAAAGGGTTGATATCAATCAAATGTGTTTCCAGTGTAGTGCATTAGTGTGGACCATCAGTTCTTCCTTTTTTTCAATTTACTCATGGTAAAAGAGATAAGACTAAGAGGTACCTCTGATCCAAACTATATTAAGCATAAATGAATACACATAATGCATAAGAAACAATATCATGCATTGCATGCATATATCTTGACTATATCTAACTAACTTTATCAGGCGCTCAGAAACTCTGTACGACCCGTGTCCCTATGAACCCAACTGGATTCCAACATTAACCACATGAAACAGAATAGACTGAAGTTCCAGAAATATCTCCCACGTTAGGCCAAACATTGTATCATGAATCCAGTTAGAAATAGGTGAAAGACTGTTTGTGTAAACTAAACTAAACTATACAACTATATGGGCAAACTTCATACTGTAAGATAAATAATATGCGAAAATCCCAAAGGCATATGATAACTTACGAACTACTGGAATATGATGGAACTCAAT